TCTTCAATTAAAGGACAGAAATACCCACTTTGTCTATGGCCATACTACCTTGAACGCACCTGATCTTGTCTGGTCTTGGAAGCTAAGCAGAGTGTGGCTTGGTTAGTACTTGGATGAGAGAAATACTCAATTCTTCCTTAAATATTTATGGCCTGCTATAAAATACTTGGAAATTAGACCTCAACGAAAATTCAGGATAGCTTTTCGGTTCCAACAGTATTGGCAACTTGTGTTCATTTTATCATACTGCCTCAAACTTATATTTATTCCTTTCCAAGTATCAAGTATTATATAATAAAAACAATTTTTTAAAGAAACATCAGCAGGCCTCTGTATATAATCCAAAGTAAGGAGATGACATTTATGTTGTTGTAGGCTTGTTTGAGAATGCTTAATTGGGTCAGTTTTAAGAATTTTTCCCTCAGAGAACTAAAAGTTGACCTACCATTTGATCCTGCAATCCCACTACTGGGTGTCTACCCAAAGGAAAAGAAGTCATTTTATCAAAAAGATGCCTGCACTCAAATGTTTATTGCAGCACAATTCACAATTGCAAAGATGTGGAATGAACCCAAGTACCCACCAATTCATGAGTCGATTAACAAAATGTGATCCATTTTGTTAATGGATCATTAACACACACCATGGAGTACTACTCAGCCATAAAAAAGATGAATTAATGCCGTTTGCAACAATTTGGATGGAACTGGAGATCATTCTCCTAAGCAAAATATCCAAAGAATGGAAAAACAAATACCACATGTACTCACTATTAAATTAGAACTGACCAATGAGCACACATGTGCACAGAGGAAGTAAAACTCAGTGGAACTCAAGCAGGGGTGAAGGGGGAGGATGGGATGGGCAAAAACCTACCTAACAGGTACAGTGAACACTATTTGGGTGATGGGCATACTTACAACTATGACTCAAGCATTACAAAAGCAATCCATGTAACAAAACATTTGTACCCCCTTAATATTTTGAAATAAAAAAAAATTATTCCCTAAAATTGACATTATCTTGAAATTAAAAACAGATGCACATAACAGAAGTAATCTAATTCAGAAAACCTCAATGACTGAATGAGATAAAGTTACCTTGTACCAAGAGATGGCCAGTTCTATTCCAGGCTGGAGCAAGTCTAGCCATGAATGAATATGAAAGGCAGTTTTGAAGAATTATTGGAATTACTCTTTGTGGAGCCTCCATCTAAAAATATTAAAGGGCAAAATATTGGCAAATTTAGAGCAATTTCTATGTTTCTATAACCTCAAAGGAAATGACTGGATGTTTAGATCACTACCCAACAAAATGGGCTACTCTGGATAAAAATTATAGTCTTTGCTATAGCTAACCCTATATGATTTTAAAGTTAAAGAAGTGTTAAAAGATATCCACTTCAAAACCACAACTACGTCAAGCTATTACGGCCGAATTCTACCTGCTTACCCTGGCCCAATAAGCCTGAATTTTGAGAGCTCCTATGCCAAGAACCTTCAACTTTACTTTTGTGTTCTGCTCCACACAGAGGAATTCAGAACAGAAAGATCTTGTGATATTTCTCAACATGGTTCGGTCTAGTTCAACATCACAAAACAATTAAATACTTACATGGGCACACATGCAACCAACAGAGTATCTCTATTTGTACAGAATTTTAAAAATTAAGACTTTCACTTCTGACCATTAAGTAATAGGAACCAGATTTATTCTCCCACTTAAAATGTCTAAAAAACTGGTTATATGAACTTACATCAAATAATGGTTCACCAGATACTGGATGTCACACAACAAAGAACGGTGGTCCCCAAGAGACAGGAAACCAACAAGATGAGCCCTAGGATTTCCCCAGCTTACTGATTATAGAGGATTTCCAGGCTGCAGTGCAGGGAGGGGTGGGGCGGGGTAAGAGTGTGCTAATCTCCTTGAATTGAGAGGACAGAGCTGGGAGTCCAGGGAAGCCAAGGCAGCTAGAGTTTTCAGGGGCAAAGTACCGGAGAGGAGAGAGCTGCATAGAGAGTAAATTTTGGAGATCAGCAGAGGGTCCCTCTTGAGTATTCAGTTGAGTATGGATTAGCACATGCACATAAGGAAACTGCCCAAGGCTGTTTGCTATAAAAACGTCTTTGAAAATATAGTCCAGGAACAACAACAAAAGGCTGCCACTGTCTCTGTGAGAAAAACATGCAGAAAAGTGAGAGAGCCAAGGAGCATTGTCTCTCAATGTTGGCTTCTGGTGAATGTTTCCAGGATAACAATTGAATAATCTGTTGGCAAGGGATGGGACCAAATCTGTTTAATCTGTCTTTTGGGAATCTAATTAAGGCTACTATCATTAGGACTTCAAGCAGCAGGATGAGGTAAACCTGCAATGTTGACCTCAAACATGGCCCGAGTGCCCAGACCCAAGCAAGCTGAACAAATTCCATAAACCCAGGGTCTTCCTTGGAAAGCCAGGCTGCTTTCTCCTTAATTTCTGTATTGACTTTCTTCTTGGCCTGAGGAATTAACCTACATATAGCAGGATATATCAGCACAAACAGCCATGCAAGGAGGAAGTCTGGGGCAATTCTGTCATCCATAACCATACTGATGGGTGACCTGATCACCTTGCAGGGCAACAATGGTGCCATTTATCACTTCAGCTAAAGTCAGGGACAAATTCTTTACCACCTTCTCTATTGGGGTGACTCCCATTGTAGGAAAAACTGCTGCCCCTCAGAGGACGAGGAGAAGGAAGAAGGAGAAGGAAGAGGAGGAGGAAGAGGAGAAGAAGGAAGAATAAGAAGAGGAGGAGGAAGAGGAAGAAAAAGAAGACAACGCACATTACCAATATCAGGAATGAAAGACATGACATCACTAAATCACTACAGATTTGACCTCAAAGGAAAATAAGGGACTATTATAAGCAACTTTATGCAAATAATTTGACAACTCAGATCAAATGGATATATTCCTTGAAACAGGTAACTTGAATAGCTCTATTATCTATTAAGGAAATTAAAAATATAGTTAAAACCCTTCCCAGATAGCATTATTGGTGAATTTTACCAAACGTTTACTGTGAAATAATAAAAATTCCAACAAACTCTTCCAAAAACTTGAAAAGGTAGGGATTTTTTTCCTGCTATAAAATTCCTGGGGGCAGTGACTTTGTCTGGTTCACAGCTTTGCCCCCAGAAATAAGTAGAGTGCTTGGCATATTATAGGTATTCAATGAATATCTGCTGACTATGATTACTGTTATGTGAAAAGTATCCATATAAAGAAAAATTGAGCATAACTATAAAGGCTCAATGAGGGTAGGAAAATGCAAGTGAAGATGGAAGAAAGTTCGTGAATAACAAAGAATTCAGGATCTGGAAGTCTGGTAAAGGGGACAAAACAAGTTTACTTAGAAGGAATGAGAAACTGGGATAAATGGAAAAAGGATAAGAGTATAAACAGATTTTAAATATTTTGGCAATGTGACACCTTGCACTAATGAAGTCAAAGGTGTGACTAGAATGGAAAAAATACAGCGCAAAGTAAGCATTTTTATTATTGTATAATGACTGTGGGTGATATTTTTCTTAATTTTTCATTTTTTTCTTATAAAGTACATATAAATTG